AGGATCAGGTGACACTGAAGACTGGAGTAATGATGCTGAAAATTCAGCTTTGCATCACAGGAATAAATTAAATTTTTATAAAATACTTAAGTTTAAATCAGTTATTTAAAATTGTAATAATATTTCACAATATTACTGATTTTTTTTTTAACAAATGGAGACTTGGTGTGCATAAGAGACTTTAAAAAAACATTGAGGGGAAAACAGTCAGAGTAATAATTAGGGCTGCAGCTGATTTTAATAATTGGTCAATTATTTTGATTATTATGTGAAATGTAATTGTATTTCTGATAGAAAAATTTTAAAAATGCATGTCTTGCTCAGTGTTTTTCTCTTGCCTTCTGTTGCTCTGTTTGTCCTCTCTCTTGCTCAACACCCAAATGCTGTGGTCACTTTAGTGGCACAAGGAAGGTTGTGGGATTCTGTGATTAATGGGGTTTTGTGTTGCTAGGAGACTTGTCATAATAATGACTATTCGCATAGTGAGTCAGATTGGCTAATATTTGCTCATGTCTCTGGAACTGTAATGTTTATTGTCTGCCTCCTTTTATTTAAAATGTAGATTCTGTATGATTTCTAGATTAATCGCACAAACCTGCCTTCAGCTAAACTACTTCCATTCATGGCTGTTGATGCTTTTCTACTTGAACATGTTATGATAAACTGAACACTTCTGAATTTCTTGTCTACTTCAGGCCTTCATTCGCAGATGTTTGGTGTACCGTAAGGAGGATCGCATCGATGTTCACCAGCTGGCCAGTGATCCCTACCTCCTCCCGCACATACGCAAGTCAGTGGCCGCCACCGGTAACTCCAGCACGGCCATCGCCTCCACCTCCAGCTCCTCCAACAGCAGCGCCTCAAATTGAGAGCTCCGTCCATCCTTGATAGTTTTGACCGGAGCAGGCGGTGTGGGGCGTTTGCATTTTGCCCCACCCCTCTCTGCAGTGCTCTGGAAGGGGTCTCAAACCCCTTACCTGCCAAGCAAGGGAGCAGGAGGAAAAGGGTAAGAGAGGGATGGAGACAACATCCCCTTCCACCCTTCTTCCTCTCCCAGGCATCTGGAGGCTTGATATGTTTTATTTTATATTTTGGATGGGAGGGGACTAAAAAGCACCCCATGAGTGAGCCAGAGCGAGAGTGAGTATTACCTGTGAGAAGGACTGAACTGCAACGGCTCAGACTGGTGGAAGAGACTGGTATATGCCCTGCACCCCACAACACGCAAACACATGCACACACACATATAAACACACATTTATAACGAGGTCAGCTTGATTTTTCTTACATGGCAACACCGTTGATGGGACAAGCCCACTCATACTAATGTGCATTCAAGTGTACAATATTCCTAAAGAATCTGGAGATGCTCCATGCTGACACAAAGCCCATCCCGGCCCATCTTCCTCTCTCTCTTTCCCCTATCCTTTTTTTTTGCCTCTGGAACGGATCTATGAACTTTTGGAAGCAATACTGTCAGTGGGTTCATTTCGACAATAGTTAATCGTAGTTTAAATGCCTTTCTGAACTGCTGTCAGATCACATAATAATTGCTGAGGCCAAATCAGCATCAGGACCTCTAGGTTAGCTGATCTTCTATGCTGGGAATCAGATGTTTGTACTGTGTGAGAGATGTAATGGACAGGTTTAGCCCAGATGTTTGTCTCTGGAGGTGTTTGTCTTTATGTCCTGCTCACTTTCACCCCATTCTATGACCAAAGCTGAGCTCTACCAGTAGGTGGTGCTGTTTGACTTGAGTTTTTATTTTATTTTTAGCTTTATGCTGTTATGAATTTTTTTTATTTTTTTTTTATTTAGCGACACTAACTGACCCCCGTCCCCCAAGTATGTTCTTGTTTCTCATCCTGTCTTTGGACAGAATCTAATGTTGAAAAAGGAGATGAACTTAGATTTTATTTTTCATTGATTAAAAGTCTTGTGCCTCACATAGAACCAAACAGACACACATATGTTCAAAAATTACACCGTCATGTATGTTTAGGTCTGGTGATACAGCTAATTGCCTGATCCGGTTTTACTGTTTGTGCGAAAGAGGGGACGGAGCTAGTTCAGGGGTACAGGGCAGAACTTGGAGCGATCATTAAATGCTATTGGTTAATACTTTGTGTTGTCTGCTTTATTTGTCTTCTATATCGCTTGATGTTTACAGATGCTGTCTAAAAGATTTAAATGAGCCATTTTTACTGAATTATAAAAATAAAGCGAAATAGAAATATAAAAAAATTACATAAAATTTAACTTTAAAATAAAAATATCAAAATAAAAGCTAATTCCAAATATTAGTAAATACTCTAGTAGTATATAAATAATACTATAAAATAAGTTAATTCAGTAATTAAGTAAATATTAATCAATACTATAATAGTTTATAAATTATACTGAAATAACAGTGCACTGGATCAGATGTTTTACTTAATAGTAGTTAGTTTGGCATTGGTTATTTATTTTTTTTTTTAGTAAGAATGATAATTTTATCAAAAGACATTATAGTTGTGTATTTCAGTAAATGTAATCAGTCTCCCAAATAAATTAAGGTGTCCATTATTAAACGTACATCAGGTCTGTATCTCAGACCTAAAAATGCAAAACCGCACTGTTTTCACGTTACAGTACTTGCACATAAACAAAACCAATTTTTTTTAAGTTGATTATACACATTCGTTCAGTGGGCGGGATGTACCTGTATACAGGACTGCAGTTATCCAGGTTGCATCTCACCTCAGGGTATCTGTGTCTGTTTTCCTTCCAACTCCTCAGCAAAGCTGGATTTGCAGTATTTATCAGTTGTTCGCCAAGATGTACAACTGCTCCCACTGTGTGACCTTTGCAGAATGACTGCATTGAAGTCAAATTCAATGTGAAAGCTGCTGGAGTAATGTTGGAAAGGCAAGGCATTAGACTTACAGCCTGTGGATTTCGATGGTTGAAGTTGAAGTGTGTATTTGTTTTGTATGCAGTGCTTGGGAATGGGTTGTGAAATCTCTGAAACCCTTTCATTTTCTATTCAGATAGTTTGGATGGGTGCTGGATGAATCATTGACCCATTCAGTCTGAAGCCGAGCCAAATGCTTTTTTACCATTTAAAAATGTTCAACAGCTGTTTGACTTCATGGTCAAAATCAATTACAGCGATTATAATTATTTGGAACCTGTCTACTTGAACAGTCACTGAATAGTCACCCACAATCTGCAAAGACCCTAATAAATATGCTAT